TGATGAGGTCAGGAATAGCAACAATTGTGAAGATGGTACAGGACTGGGCAGTGATTCTCTTTGGTGTACATAGGGTTGCTGTGAGTCAAAACCAATTCAACAGCACCTAATAACAACAAAGATACAGAATTACATATTTCTTTTACAGAAATAAAAATTCCACATTGATCATACAGCTATAATTCATATGTGGTAAGTCAGTTGCTTTTCATTGTATCAGTACGTGAAACCATGGCTAAGTTGTTATGCTTCTGCATTCCTATAGTTAGGTATGCTTAGGTATAGAGTGTCAGGCACTTCTGAGTTTTATACATATAAAGTTTACATGGTAATGAAAATATCCAAGGCATTTCTCTGTCAGAGTAACAATACATTCACAGAGACAGTAGTAAGTCATGTTCAGAGGTATGATGGGAAGAAAGCAGAGACTGATGCAAGCTGTTATACGTATCCAGAGGAAAATAACAGAAGTCAAAGGATGTAGCTATCTTGACTGAGGTCCAAATAGGTGTCCAGATCTGCTTTGAGCAAAGTACAAAGAGCCAAGTAGTAGACAGAGGGAGTAGTAATTCCCAGAGTCAGTTCCAGCTTCCTGATCATGCAGGCATGATCAAATAGTATCTGGCCTGGATTGTAGGGTCCCACAGGAACTTGGAGAGTTCTGGACCCCAGTAGACTAAGATGCAGTCATGTTAAAACATTGGTATGAAAAACCAGACCAGCCAGATGAAAGCCCTTTCAGTAAAAATCTCCAGTCCAGTAGTTTTCTAAGAAAACATACATGGAAAGTAAATATTTTAAGTCCCTGAAGATCTGAAAATGTCTATATTTCTACCTTCATATCTGTTGGCAATTTGACTGGGTATAAAAGTCTAGGTTGAAATTCCACAGCCTTTGAAGCTCCATGGCCTTCTAGTTTCCAAGTTGCTATTGGGAAGTCCAATCTTTCTCACTTCTGCTAAATTGCTTACCATACCTTCATTTGCTTTCTGTCTTTCAAATATATGTTGGACTATTTCTGTTTGGCCACTCCTCCACAGTTTGTTTGTTTGTTTGTTTATTTGTTTATTTGTTTATTTATTTATTTATTTTAGTTTATATCTTTTTTCATTCTTTATTGTAATTTTAGTGTTATTTTAGGGTGAATAAGTAGAAAACTCTTGTGGCCAGTCCACCATGTTTATCCAAAGTCCAGTGACATCCTTAAGTCTCTAAGTATTTAAGTCTATAAAATCACTTTGCACATATTATGACACTAATACTATTAGAAACCCTGAGAGTAAGTAGTACTATTCCCATTTGATGATAAGATAGGCTCTAGGAATATTAGCAGTTTTCTCAAGTTTAAAGAGCCAGTATGAGATCAATTCAGATTTAAAACCATGTTTTCCCCACATTATTCAAGTGTTAGGGTCACATGCAATGATCCCTTTGTGATAGAAGTCACTTGAGTGGCTGCACTATATCTTGCTGCAGTAAACTAATAGCACTACTCTGGTGTGAATTATTCCTTTGAACTATTCTGTGAGCCACAGAATGCAAGATTTCCTCTTCAATCACTCTTTTATTCCACAGTGGAAATTGGAACACCTAAAACCAAATAATTGCTGGGTGGTCTGACTCATACAAAATGGTGCAGTATATTATAACTGACAAGGAAAACCAAAATTATGGTGTTTGGGATCTGAAGAAAAATATGCCTTAATGTATAATGATTCTATTTCAGAGTCCAGTACAAAGTGAAATAACTTTCCTCTTTGAAGCTTTTACTTACATTCCCACAGAGGGCACAAATAACATTCTCTAATTTGAAGACAAAAAGTAAGCGATTGCTTTCAAAGTCCAGCCTTTTGACGACATTGCAGAGCTTTTCAGCTGAGTGGTTGTTCTCAAAAGGGAAAAGGGACTTTCCAAGTAGTATTTACAAACAAGCATACATAACCAATAATGTATAGTATATTTATGTGTCACTTCAACTTTGTACTTATAACAGCAGATACACTCTGTATTAAAGGATGTCTTCCTGGATGGAGTCTTCAGATAATACCTCCTGAAGAATTTTCAGTTATTTTCCCTTTAAAGGGTTTGTCTGTTGCTTTTCCCAGTTGAATGTCAGATCTTTGCACTTCCTTACTTTACCATCTAATTAGCTCCAGCTGCATGTGCATATAAATTAAATAATACAATTAAAGGGACTGGGTAAAGCAATGAAAGGGTGAAATCAGGCAGAACTTCCTATGACCTGGTCAAGTCATTCTGCTTCCCATGCCCTCAGGCTTCTCTTGTGCAAAAGATAACCCTCAAGTCTCCTTTCAGCTCTTGAATACTATTTGTACACTAGTGATGAATCAATATGAGTGAATTACCTGAAACAGTCACCACTGTTTCATTATATGTGTGACTATGAAAGACTTTGTTTATCCATTCATTCATTTAATACATGCTTACTGGTATTAAATGAATAATACATAATTAATAAATGGACAGACACATCCTTAGCTTCATTGAGTCCAAAGTCCAAAGAGAAAGGCCAATAAAAACAAACTCTCAAATAAATAATAATTGTGATCAATGTTGTGAAAGATAACAAAGTACTCTGAAAAAGAATAATAGGAAAAGGATAATTAATGGGGTAAGGGGAGTATGTCCAAAAAAGTTTCATTAAAGAAATAACAAGAGATCTGCAAGGTGAGGAGTAGCTGGCCAGGTGAAGAATGAGAAAAACAGCATTCTAAGCATACATAAAGACCTTAGGAAATTAACGAGGGTGTGGATTCATGTGGCTAGAGAATCTTGAGCAAGAGGGTCCAGCCTGAGATAAAGTTACAGAGGTGGGCTCCCATCAAAGCATGTAAAAGTCTCACCACCATGATGAGCATTTTCATGAAGTCAAAAATACAGTGAGGACCTACTGAAAAAAATTTTTTAAGCAAGAAAGGGAGCTTATTTAATTATCTTTATAAAAGATTATTCTGGCCAATATACAGACATTGAATTTGAGGAAGGCAAAAACAGAGGAAAGCAGTTAAGTTAACAATTAGTCCAGGCAAGGGATGATGGTGAGTTGAATGGGAAGGCAATGATGAAGACATGAGTCGATTTTACATATAATCTTGGACTATCCTTATAGTATGTCTATAAACACCTGTGATATCTAGTGGGGTACCTGTGGTCTCATGTCTCAGGTACACACACAAATTAATTTCTGAATTAATTCAGAAATTAATTTTCTGAATTCTAAACAGACTTACTCTAATAAGATCCCATTGTCTCTCCACGAGGACTTCAGAGGTGGCATTCTGCATGATCCACACCTGATCCACAGGAAGTACTCACAAATCCTTTTCCCTGACATGCTTTTGGAGTGCAGGCTTTCCCTTCATGGCATCCTTCCCAGTAGGCTGACAGAACCATTGATTACCCATGTCTCTCACATTTGACTTTCCCATGCATGGGTATTGCCACACTGTGTGTCCAACAGACTCCAGAAGACAGAGGCCACAATTTCAAAGTCAAGGCAATCCTTCAGTTATGAATGTCCAACTTACAGACAACTCCTACTTCGCTTTTTGTTATGGAATTTTGCCCTCACTTTGAAATAATTGAACCAGCCCCTACTCACAACACATTCTTCATCACAATCACCTTGACTTGCTGCATGTGCAGCTTTTAAATTATTGAAAAGGCCTTGAGCCTTTTCTTGGACTAATCCAAAACCCACTGCTATGGAGTCAATTCTGACTCATGGTGACCTTCTAGGACAGAGTAGAACTGCCTCATCGCATTCCCAAGGCTATAAATCTTTTCCGAAGCAGACTGACTCATCTTTCTCCTGCAAAGTGGCTGGTGGGTTCAAACCACCGAACTTTTGGTTAGCCCCCAAATGCCTTAACCACTGCACCACCAGAGCTCCTTTCTTGCATTAATGTAAGGCTAAATAAGAACTTTATTCATCTGTTAGGATTCATCTACAAATTTACTTAAAGACATAAAGACACAGTTAGGAATAGATCTCATTCATAACTCGAGGCCTGCCTGTAGTCTCTTTGAAGTCTTTCTCATTATGACTGAGCAGAGAAGGAAGCACCTCCATCCTTCTTTCTATAGTAGATGATCCAGGGTGAAACTGATAGTTACTCAGCAACTTACAAAGAGATCTGCTCTCCAATCTCCCACTTTTCTCTTTTTGAGGCCTGCTGAAGGTCTACCACTTTACTTGGTATATCAGAGCAGTTGGCACCTGTGGTCCTGCATACTCTTATCCTAGCCTAAATGGAGACAGAAAAGATACAATTTTAACAATATTCTCTAGCTTCCATCAAGCTGCTTTCTAAAATGATGAGCACAGGTACCCAGAACCACTGCCATCTTCCTAAAACTCCAAACATCACTCTCTTGTTTTTCTCCCCAGTGCCTCTAGCACCCCTTCCTTGAGCCTCAGTGCAACAATGCAGTGCCCAGGATAGCTCTCTGCCTCTTCTCTCCTCCTCTGCCTTCTTTCTTCTCACTGCATTTTGGAACCCTGTCCCAGGAAATTAAGTGACTCCTGCTTTCCTGCAGGGTTTCATTGACACCAGTTTTCTCCTCTTTCCCTAGCAGGGACTGGTTCTGACCAAGTCCTGCCACTTTATAACACCATCAGTCCTGCCTTTGTGCATACCCTGATGTCCTCGCTTATTGGTCACTTTTCCAAGAGTTTATTCAACATCTCAGACTCTGTGATGGGAGGTTATGTGAAATTTCAGGACTTGCACTACCAGTACAGAAGAACAGAAATGAGTGACCTATATGAAAGGCAAATTCATTGGAATTGAGATACCAAAGAAAGTGGAGGTAAAGAATCTACCATAATATTTTGTCCATTGTGCAAATTTCATGTAAAAGACACAGGAAAGAGGAATTACCTGGTTATGGGAACAACCTATTTTTCAGTAATTTAAGACTAGTCACTAGCAAAAGGCAGGCTGTATCCTAACCAAAGTTCATTGTGCGTATAACAGGAACCAATGCTAAGCATGGACTGCGTTGCAAGGCCTGTAAGATGAGTATCCACCACAAGTGCACGGATGGCCTAGCGCCCCAGCGGTGCATGGGCAAACTGGTAAGGGTTCATGCCAGGAGTGAGCCCCAGAGCATCCTGAGCAGGCCACTTGCTTGCTCTGGCCAGCTCACACTCTCCCGACTCCTTCCTCCTTCTCACATCACACTGAGAACTGGACAGCAGAAAGACAGCCTCAGAATCCCTGACCTGCCAACTTGACTTCCTCATCTAAATAAGTGATTGAGCAGAGGGAAAGTTTTGTCAACCTGATAGACAAGTTTCCCACAAATGAAAATAACTCAGGTCCTTAATCTTGTGGCTAACTTGTCCTGAGCTGGGATTTGCTCAGTTTTAGCACTTAAAGTCCCTGATATCCTGGGACTGTCCAGGTTTAAAAGCTGAATGAAAGGCCTACATCTTGGGAACCCCCTTAGTCCCAGGCAAAATGACAATTGGCTGTCAACTGAATATGTATCAAGAGTGGGATAGAGCTGACTACCAAAAATTGAGAGAATAATAAAAATCTACACCACATTAACAGAAGTATAATGGCCAAATACTCAAAGGATGTTGGGTAGCCTTGGCCCGTTCTGGGCCAACAATGTCATCTCAAGAGTGTGGACTTTAGTATTGGTGATACATATTAGGGAAAAACAATCCAGAGCACTTTTGCAGGTATTTGAACCTAAGTTTAGCCAAAGGATTTAAAAGAGATCAAGTTTACCTTGGGTAATACTTAGGACATAACAGCTCTCTTCAAAAAATTGAAGACTTGTCACACAGAAAAGGAAATTCTATTGTCTTTTGTGGCTCTAGTGAGACCTAGATCTGTAGGTACCAAGTCTTAACAATCAGAGGTAGTATCCCAAAAGATCCACCTACAGGGTTAGTGAGTGCCCTGTCACTGACAGTGCTCAAACAAAGGACACCACTTGACAAGAATATTGGAGAAGATTCCATAGCTGTAATAGGGACTGGGCTACAGACCACTAAGTTCTGCTCCAATGCTGGGATACAGTAAGTATAAGTGCTTAGAGAGCCCTTCTACTTACCCTCAATGGCAATTTCTTCTCTCAAACCCCTGCTTCACCTGCTCTCCTTTTCCTCCTCCAATGGTGATTCCTATGATCCAAGGCAAAGACAATGAGTGAGAGGTCAGCAAAACAGAAAGAGAATCTGGAACACAAAACAAATCATTCAGAATAAAGCTCTTCAGCTATACAAGGGCCTAGCTCCAAGGTATGGTTTCCCATGCTTGGACCTTTTTAGGATTTTAGTAAACCACAATAATAAAATGTGGTAAAGCAATGCCTAACAGTCCTGGGAGATAATGAGTAAACCAGACACAGGAGGCTGCAGTGAGCTGCAGAAGAAGGAGAAGCAGGACAGAGAAAGGGCAGGGCTGGGAGCCTGCTTTCCAGATGATGCGTATCTTGCTTATTGCCACCTCCACAGGGATAAATTATAGAACAAGTCAGCATCTTAAAGGGAGACAAGGAGGCACCTCTGGAGAATACAACTGGTTTATTTTAGGGCTCTTATGTTGTTTTCTCCATCTGGTTTGTAACACTAAGCCCTTCTCTTTCTCATTCTCTCTCCAGCCAAAGGGGTTTCGGCGTTACTACAGCTCCCCCTTGCTCATTCATGAACAGTTTGGATGCATTAAAGAAGTCATGCCCATTGGTGAGTTGGAATATTGATGGGTTAAATTGGGTTTTCAGCAGCAATGTCAGTGTTAATGGCTGCTGCTTTCCAAGTCCTGACAAACTAATGGGACGTCTTTGTGTCTGTTTGGTGGCTCTTTGGGTTTTGGTTATTTGTTTGTTTTGCTGGATGGAAAACATATCATGGACCAAATTCTCCAGAATCATTGTCTCCCTGATGAAGCTCTATAAACACCCAAGTCTAAAAGTTCCTCATACCCCATACCACCTGTTAACATTATGGTAAACTGGAAAGATCATGAAGTGTGACATCCCATAGACCTGGTTTATAGCCCAGTCCTTCTATTGACCATCTATGTATCATTAAACAAGTGACCCAACTTGCCAGACCCTGTAAAATGAGAACACAATAGCTATATTTCATAAATGTTTTAAAGACAAATATAAATCACAAACCAAGACTTAGTAGGAATCCAGTGAGTATCAGTTACTCCTTAATGAGGACAAAATGTATATCCCATATTTATAGATATTTCTGACTTGAATTTCTCATTTCTTTCAGCATACTTCTTTTTTTTCCGCTCCCCTCTGAAAACCTTTACATCTATTTTTGCCTCTTTGCGGGTAATTTTTAAACTGGCAAATTTAAACTAAGGCTTTAATCAGATGTTCACAAGACCCGGTAATGCCAAATTCTTCTGGAGACACTTGCCTACTATTTCAAATTCTGTATTACACATTTTACCTTGGTGATCAGAACATTCACAGAGATAATAAATCTGGTCCCTGGAAAGAACTTTAAAATTGGAACCCTGGGGATGGATAATCACAGAAGAAAACCAATTGGGAAGAGGTTAGGAGCAGAGAGCTCTTATTGGAAGAAGGGGGTGCAGTAGAGAGTCTTGGCAAGTGGGAGCATTTACTGAAGGGATCCATGTAAATAAGGAAAGCTTGACCACAAACTACTCATTTTCACAGGGCTAGTTGGGTCCACTGCATTGAACCTATTTTCCAGGTGCTGTTAACTCAGGAAATGTGGTCAGTTGTTGGTTGGGCCCCTGATAGGGAGTTGGGGAAACCTTTGTCTCAGATGAGCTTTCTTTTGTTGCAGCCTGTGGCAATAAGGTGGACCCTGTCTACGAGACCCTCCGCTTTGGCACCTCCTTGGCCCAGAGAACGAAGAAGAGCAGCTCCGGCAGTGGCTCTGACTCACCTCACAGAACCTCTGTAATTGTCCTCTCCTTCCCTCAGTCCCACCTGCAGTGGTCTTGAACAGGACAGGTGTCTTTGTTATCTGGTGCTGCTAAAACAGAAATACCCCAAATGGTTGGCTTTAATGAATAGAATTTTATTTTCTCACAGTTTAAGAAGCTAGAAGTCTGAATTTGGTTGGGGCCCCGACTCTAAGGGAAGGCTTTCTCTCTGTCCACTCTGAGGGAAAATCCTTGCCTCAGCTTCTCTTGTCTCACTTTTCTATGTTGTCTTTGCCTTGAGTTATAATCAACCACTACATGTTGTCTTCTTTATCTAGTACTGCTATAACAGAAATACAAGTAGGTAGTTTTAACAAACAGAAATTTATTTTCTCATAGTTTAGAAGGCTAGATGCCCAAAGCTTCAGCTCTAGGGAAAAGTTTTCTCTCTTGTCAGCTATGGAGGAAAGTCCTTGTCTCTTTTCAGCTCAGTTTCTCGGTTCCTTGGCAATCGTCACGTGGCCTGGCCTCTACCTTCCCCCATTTGTGCTTGCTTGCTTCTGTGCCTAATCTGCTTTTTATATCGCTTAAGTGCTTGGTTTAAGACATACCTTACATGGATATGGCCTCAATAACATCACAAGAAAAAGTCTAACCCCAAATGTGATCATATCCATATTAAGATTTACAAATATTTTGGGGGCACACAATTTAATTTATAATATGAGTCTTATCCTATTTTATTAATAATAAGTACATAACACATGTGTTGTTGTTGTTGTTGTTTGCCGTCGAGTCGGCCCCGACTCATAGCTACCCCTCCTTGGGTTTCCGAGGCAGTATCACTACGGAAGTAGGATTGCCCAACCTTCCTTCCGAGGAGTGGCTGGTGGGTTTGAACCGCCAGCCTTCTGGTTAGCAGTCAAGTGCCTTAGCCACTATGCTACCAGAGCTCCCTGTGTTAAAGATACTTAAATAATGTTGCCCTATGAGTACTGAACGATTTGATAGTAAAATGGAAAATGTTAACCTTCAATAGGCTTTTGCCTTATAATGGTGAAGGTCTAATTTGTGATATTTTAAGGTACCAGAAGGCTGATGATCTCCCTAAACAAACAAACAAACAAAAAAAAACCCTGACTGCCGTCAAGTCGGATAGGACTCATAGCAACTCCTCCTTGGATTTCTGAGGCAGTATCACCACAAAGTAGATTGCCCAACCTTCCTTCTGAGGAGTGGCTGGTGAAGCTATAAATCAAATTGGCAGTCAAAATCGAAGTGTTATTTCATTTTCTAAAGGAAGGATAGAAAAGGTACTAAGTGTGGTGAAAAAATCAAAGTGCATGTGGCTAGAGTTTGTATTTATTTTAATACATTATGGGTGTGTGGGTTGGATAATAATGATAATGGTAATATATGTAAAGCTTCTAGTGTAGAGCCTCGCATAATTGGCACCCAGTAAATGGAAGTTATTGCATCTCAATTTTTATTAAGCATCTAAGCCTTAGCTGAATTTCCTTTGAAAATGAGTTACTGTGAAGTTAAATAAGTTTATAACCTATTAACAAAGCAAATGAGTTATCTGAGAAGAGCTTTTTCCAAGGCCTTAAAAGAGCCCATTCTCAGGCTGTCAGAAACCTTGGTCAAGAAGTCTGCTCTATTCTACATTTGGGTGGCCTATCTCTTCTTCTGATGTATCCTCCAATCACTCTTTAAATTGGAATCTGCCCTTGCTATGTTTTCTTGTTCAACATGTTCTTCCTGATTAATCACATTCCTCCTGTCGAACCACCACCTCTAAGCTGATGACTCCTTTAGCAATCTCCGGTCCTAACCAGGGCTCTGAACAGGTTCATTCTGGCTTGCCCCCCTGCTGAGAATTTGCATTTCTACCCCAGATATACTGAATCAGAATGCAAATTTAAATAAGATACCCAAGTGATTCTTACACATACATAAGGATCACTTGGAAATCTTGTTAAAATGTAGACTCTAATCCAGTATATTTAAGGTAGAAATGTAAATTCTCATAGGGAAGTTGAACTAGAAATGAACCAGTTCAAAGCCCTAATCCTAATCTCTTACCTAAGCTCCTGACCAGTCCCACAGATACCTCAAAATAAGCATGCCCAAGTAAATTCATATCCATCTGGTAATTAGGTCCTATAAGTCAGAAATGCATGTCAAATGCACCCTTTCTCTAGGATCACCAGTTCTGGAGATGCAGATTACTACACCAGTGCATCTCACGCAGAATTCTGTAAAGGAATAACTCTGCTGCCTCCTCCTTTTGATTCTACCCTTAGCAATACCTCTAGATTTATCCTCCTTTAAAGAAAGACTCCAGGCAGCAATACTCTGTTGACTCACTTGTACCTGATAGACAATGCCCAAACTCTATCCTGTAGTATGAGGCCTATCAACCTGACAATTATTCCCAATTTACCTTAAAGATCAACCTTCCTATGAATTCACCAAGGTTTTTGACATCTCTATGCCTTTGAACATGCTGTTTCTTCTAAGTGAAATTCTTTAAGACTCAGCTTGATTTTTATATAAACCATGAAAGGCTTCCTCACTCTCTCAGGCATAATGAATTGCTCCTCCCGTAACCTTTAAGGAATTCCTCTCTTGTAGTATATACATTTTCATTTCATTGTACATGGGGTCCTTATAAGTTGGAATGACCTTGACAGCACCTAACAACACTTGTCTGTCAGTTGGCACATACTGTGGTGGCTCGTGTGTTCCTGTAATACTGGAAGCTATGCCACTAGTATTTCAAATACCAGCAAGATCACCCTGGTGGACAAGTTTCAGTGGAGCTTCTAGAATAAGACAGACTAGGAAGAAAGGCCTGGAAATCCCTTCCAAAAATTAGCTGATAGAAACCCTGTGGATCACAGTATAGCATTGTCTGGCTCACTTACTTTGGACACATCATCAAGAGGGATCAGTCACTGAAGGAATACATTGTGTTTGGTGAAAGAGAGGGCCAGTGAGGAAGAGGGATACCCTTGTCCAAATGGATTGGCACAATAGCCACAATGATGGACTTGAATGTGCAAAGATTGTGAGAATGATGTGGGGCCGGGCAACAGTTTCTTCTGTTGTATAGAAGGGCATCATAAGTCAGTCAACTCGATAACAGTTAACAAGTATATACGTGATTGCACTGTAATGCTCTCTTTTTGCATCTCTTTCCTAAACTGGATACTGAGCAACTATAGGTCAGGACCCTATTCTTATTCATGTCATTATCACCAGGTCCTGGCATTGTGCCAAGCACATAGTGGACACTTAGGAAATACTTAGAGAATGAAGGGAGAACTAAGAAGGAATACTTGAAGGCTGACTTAAAAACCCTGAGAGATCCACACAGCACTTCATTTCTCATATCCTGAGCTCTGGCACAGTTTGCTGTTCTTTGTGTTACCCTGTCTTTGTCCTTACATCACCTCTACCTGTTTGCAGACATCTCTTTGAGCTTCGTGGTCATTGTTGGGCATGCCTTCCATGAGCTTCCATAGCAGCTAGTTCATTAATTGTGATAATTTGCATATTACTAGGTAATTTTCACTTTTTTGTATCATTTTTATCTCTTTTCTCCAACCTCCCCCTCAACTAGATTGAACTACTTAAATGCAAAGACTTTTTGTTCACATCTTTTTATTTTTGCTACCTTATACCAGTGATTCTCAAACTTCAGTGGGTATCAGAATCCACCAGAGAACGTGGTGAAATAGAAAGGCCCAAACCCTGTTGGATTTCAATAAGCCTGGGCCTCTGTATCCTTTGTTAGCTCTCCAGGTGGGTGATGCACCTGGAGGACTACACAGCACATCAGACTTACAGAATTGGAAAATCTGGGGTAGGGACCAGAAATCTACATTTTAAAAACTCCTCATGCAATTCCAGTGCTCACCAAAGTTTGAGAAACAATGAGTTAAATTAAGGATTAAATTTGTTTGTTCAAAAGGAAATCAAGCCTTGCCAACCATCTCCTGTTCTATCTCATATTTGTCCTTTCAGCTCCCTCCCTCTTCCTTTTGAATCACAAATTTACAGTTGCTACTATGCAGTGCACTACCGTCAAGTGTGATCCGACTCATAGTGACCCCTCCTTGGGTTTCCGAGGTGGTATCACTATGGAAGTAGATTGCCCAAACTTCCTTCTGAGGAGTGGCTGGTGGGTTTTAATTGCCAGGCTTCTGGTTAGCAGTCAAATGCCTTAGGCACAGTTGCCACTAAGCTAGACTTAAGTTTGAAATGGAGACTCAAGAATGCTAAGCATATCTCTAACCACACATGTTGTTGTTATGTGCCACCGAGTCGGACCCGACCCATAGCTACCCCTCCTTGGGTTTCCGAGGCAGTATCAGTACAGAAGTAGATTGGCCCACCATGTTTTATATCCTTTCTCAAGCAAATGATGAAAATCATTGCTGCCAGTGAGTTGGTGCTCCAAAAGCCACATAGAGCTGGCTTTTGGCCCACAGCCATCATCCCTTACAAATAAAGACTTCTTGTAGATACCACCACTAGCCTAAGAGGAAAAGCAAAAACAGATGGCTAGAGCAGAAACCTCTGTCATATTTGAACAGGCCTTTTTCACATCCCTGGTGAGGGCCAGTATATCCACCCACCACTCCCAGGGCAAGTGTCATTCATGCCTGTGTGAGGCTGGCATTGGTGGAAAGACAAATGCAACACCAACCCAGGGATGCAAGAGCACAGAGGCAGCTCGACAGAGAGGTCTTGACTTATCCACATTGCAGTAAGGGACTGCTCCTGCAGTTCTGAGTTCTGCTAGACAAAGCAAAGTCCCCAGAAACATTTCACAATGGTCAGTGGACATGTCAGCCTCCACATTTTTGACTGATGCTAAGCAGCCAGCCAGTGAACACCCTATGGATCACAACAGTTTAATCTGCAATCAATCATGGGGGTGGCACAGGCCCAGGCAGCATTTCATTCTATTGTGCGTAAGGTCACCATGAATCAGGGACCAGCTCCATGACATCTAACAAGTAGCAGCGAGATCCTCAGAGGGATAGTTTGCTTTTGTATCTAAAATAGCTTTATTTATAGTAACATCCGGACACTACAGACTGGTTTTAGGAGGAAAGAACATTGGTTTTCTGAATGTCAATAAGGTGTCCCTCCATTACAGTCCACTTATACTAGCACTTGTTACATCAGTCAGTATTTATTAGAGTTTTGTTCTGTGAAGGCATTGTTCTATGAGCTACAAGAGACAGAGACAAATAAAAATGTTCTTAAATTTATCTGTCACTTCATTCTTTCCCAGGGTCAATAGAAGAAAACAAGCACAATTGATTAGTGCATTAAAATGATTTTGTTTCCTTCCTGCAGGGTCAGTTGGTAATGAACTTCAGCTTCTTACCATTCTTCTAGTATTGTTATGTCCTAAAGCTAACACTACCCCACACAGAAAAGCTTTGTCCCACAGCTTCCTTTCTCCTAGGGCTGCAGAGGCCCTCAGTCATCATTATCCGGAAGCCACTCTCTGGCTTTTTCTAAATCATTGTGTTTTTTTTAATGTGCTTTTCAATGAAAAGGTCTGGAATATTTAGTGTTCTGACTTGATGGTTTTGGGAAGGCCAGGAGAAACCAAATTCAAAACCTTGCAAGGAGTTAGTTCACTAGTTTATGAGTAATCTTCAATTTTATAAGATTAATATAATTGAAATTCTCTGCAAAGCAATTTTTGTGCAGAAATAATGAGCTTCAGAGGAGCAGGGAATGAGTGACTTGGAGGCCTATGACTTCTTATTCTTCTTTCTGATGATGTGTCATAAAAGCAAGAATGGCTGAAAAGAAAATCTCAAAGCTACATTGTAACAAAAATCAGTCTCCGAAAAGTGGTGCTAAAGCACTAGAGCTGAGAAACAAAGCTAGGAAGCCGAACTTGTTCCTCTCTTGGCCTCCACATTTTTGCCTGATGCTAACCAGCCAGCCAGTGAAAACCTTATGGATTACAGCGGTTCAATCTGCAACCAGTCATGGGCATGGTGTGGGATATAAGTAAACTATATATTTATTTATGATTTTTAAAGTCTTATTTAAAAATACAAATAAATATTTTTAAAAAACTTTAACTTTCCTCTGAGACCCCTAATTCCCTTTTTGAAGAGGCTAGAGCAAGGCAGGAGCTCTGGTAGCGTAGTACCTAAGGCACTTGACTGCTAACCAGAAGGCTGGCAGTTCAAACCCACCAGCCACTCCTGGGAAGGAAGACTGGGCAATCTACTTCCATAGTGATACTGCCTCAGCAACCCAAGGAGGGGTCGCTATGAGTTGGTCCTACTCGACAGCACATGACAACAACAACAACAGGGCAAGGCAGGCAGAAGGATTTGGACTGGAGCCCCTGGCTCCTTGAAAAAGGCAATCAGAGGTATGCTCATAAATGCTTAACCACCTACTGGGGAGGATCCTGATTTGTAGCATTTTGCAATTTCCCTGGTGTAAATACTCCCACAGTGGCCAATTTCAAGCTACCCACATGATACTGCTGAAAGTTCTCATGAACAGGTGTGAGCCATTCTAACACCACTGGATAAAACACAGTACTTACGAGCACAAACTGAAGCGACAACCCCTGGAGTTCATAACCATTTCTGAGCCATGGGTCCTCAAAGTAAAGTTATTGATTTCCTCTTGGCTTCAGATTCCTATGTGAAAAAATAGGTATATCATATGATTACTATGAGGAATAAATGAGACTGTACATATCAAGTACTTTAAAAGAGTACATGGTAAATGATAAGTAATCATTAGCTATTTAAAGTGCAGTTAGTCCTGAGTGTTGCAAAAGGCTGATGTACTCAATAGGTTGAAGGTTCTGAGTCCACCTCAGAAGAAAGGCCTGGCTGAAAAAAAGTCAGCCATTGAAAATCCTATGGAACACAAGTCTACTCTGACGCACATGGGCCACCATGAGTAGGAGTAGTAACCTCCAGGGCAACTAGTTTAATTAATATTATTTTTATTGTTCCTATTATTAACATTGTTATTACTTCTGTAACATGAATGGAAGAAAGATTATTACTTTTCTTGTAAAGAAAAAGAACCAGAATGAGTATGACAAAAACAATTGATTTTTTGCAACAATTAAAATAACATTTAATTTGTAGCTAGGTAATCCATCCCTGAATTGTACATCTCATTCTCTACTATTAGTGCCTAAGGCATGTGACTGCTAACCAGAAGGTTGGTGGTTCAAACCCACCAGCCACTCCTCAGAAGGAAGATTGGGCAATCTACTTCCATAGAAATACCACCTCAGAAACCCAAGGAGGGGTCACTATGAGTAGCAATCAACTCGATGGCATTGAGTTTGGTGGGTTTTTGTTTTGTTTTTAATGGAAAGAGTTATAGTTTTATTGAGTTTTATGACAAAAAACTTGGGCAGTAATTCTGATTTCTCTCTGTTGCCTGTTCCTAAGAAGAGCCCTAATTGTGGCCTGTACTTCTAGGCATTCATTCAACACTCATTAATCATCTATCCTGTGCAAAGCTCAGTGCCTGGCATAGACAACTGAAGGGAGGTACACTGCCCACAAGGGAACACACAGCCTCTCAGAAATTAGCCAATCAGAAAAGATAGCAATGATTGAATTCTCAAGACCACCCACTGCCATCTAGTCAATTCTCTTCATAGTGACACTATGAATAGAACTGTAGGTTATAGAGCTGCCCAATAGAGCTTCCAAAGGTATAAATCTTTATGGAAGAAGACGACCTCATCTTTCTTCTGTGGAGCAGCTGGTGGGTTTGAACTGCTGACCTTTTGGTTAGCAGTCAAATGCCTTAATCACTGTGCCACCAGAGCTCCTTCGGAATTTTCAAGACAGTGTTATGCAAATTCCACCTTAGCTCTTCTATTGACATCAAAAATCTCTGTTCACCTAGCCCACTGATAAAACCTTGCTCATTCTATGTTCTTTCCTCTTTTCTCCCAGACTTCAGATCTTGTGGAGGTTCCTGAAGAAGTTGATGGGCCAGCAGGCGGGTATGACCTAAGGAAACGTAGCAACAGTGGTGAGTAAGGGAGCAGGGAGTCATATCTTATGAACTTAGCTCTACTGGGTTTTAGGAGTCACTTCCAGAACTTTTTGTTAATGCATCATTTCCTCCCATGACCTAGGTTACATTAACAAACCATACCACAGGGGAGCTACTTAATGCTATATCTGAGGTAACAGCAAGCAGGTGGGGTGATGCCAGTTAAGGGAGTATAGACCTCACACCTGGCTCCTTCCCCTGTAGAGGACACTAAGACTCAAAAACTGATATGCACAATCCAGCCAAACATTCTTTATTAATATTATTTAGCCTTATGACAGGAACAGGCAATGTTGTGTTCTGTTGTACATAAGGTTGTCATGAATTGGAGCCAACTTCATAGCAACAACAACAACCTTATAATAACTTGAAACCTTTGTTAACATAACTTATAAAATATTTATTAAATTCTAACTATATATTTTTGCCTTCTAATATTTAGAATGAACCCCCTCTTAAACCAGGGCCTAAAGAAACATCATAAGCAAGCCCTTATGGATTGCATTCTTGCCAAGCCTTTTTGACATCAACAACTATTTAACCTTCACTCATTTCTCAAAAAAAAAAAAAAAAATATATATTATTAAGCATGTACCATCACCAGAAAAAATAAATAGGTCACAAATAGTCCAAAGGACTAATGGAACACACAAACCTCAGCCTCCACTACCCTGAGACTGGAAGAGTTAGATGGTGCCCAGCTACCACAACCAACCACTCTGATTGGGATCATAATCGAAGGTTCTGGACAGAGTGGGAGAAAATTGTAGAACAAAATCCACATTATTAGAAAGACCAGACTTACTGATCTGATAGAGACTGTTCAGACTCCTGAGACACTCCTCAAACCTGAAACTGAACCCACCATTGGGGATCATCTTTCAGCCAAACAATAGACCTATAAAATGAACAGTAATACCAGTGAGGAATGTAATCCTCAGAAAAATCAACTATACAAGACCAAAAGAGCACCATTTGCCTAAAAACAAAGCTGAGAAGGCAGGAAAGGACAGGAAAGAAGGACGAATGGCAACAGAGGACCTAGGAAGGAAGTAGGAAGAATGCTGTTACACTGAGGAGATTGCAACTTATGTCATAAAGCAAAAAAAAAAAAAAAAAATGTATAAATTGTTGAATGGAAAACTAATTTTCTCTGTAAACTTTTACCCAAACCACAATTTAAAAAACAAAAAATTAAGTCAGCTTATTCATATAAAGCATTAGAAGTGTGCCTGACCTATATGTAATTTAAAATTATTATTAATTTTTTTAAAAAAGTAAATAGATGACAAAACCTTTCTTCAGGTCACTCATCTACTACGGTTGCAGGTCCTCACTTGTGCTATTCATTTGGGCTGAATGCATTCTCATGGCAGCAATTGTCCCTCCCAATTTTCATTCCTACAAACTGAAGCATGGAGAAGTGCTGCCATGGAAAAGTCCTCCACTTGACTAGTTGCCCTTGCTGCTTCTAGACTGGAAGAAAGCAGAAGTTCTACATTAAATACCCTGTAGGTGTTTCATCACAGAGTCCCTTCGTAAATGGTTAAGCGCTTCAATACTAACAAAAAGGTTGGCAGTTCAAACCCACCCAGAGGTACCATGGAAGAAATGCCTGAGATCTACTTCTAAAATGTCACGGCCATGAAAACGCTATGGCATACAATTCTACTCTAACATATGGGATTGCCATGGGTCAGAATGGATTAGACAGCAACTGGTTTGGTTTTTGTAAGGTTTTTTCATTTTGTTTTTTCCCTTTTGGTCAAGGGCTATCTTACAAGGTACCACTTACATTTCCTTTATGACAGGAATTCACTTTTGTCTCTTCTCTAGTGAAGACTGTGACTGTGTGATTCCCACAAGGCAACATGTTCTTAGCTTCCCCCTACAATTCTACTTCCTAAATAAATGTTCTTGTTCACCTTACCTCCCCTGGCCAAGCCCGCACACATCAGTTAAAGCTCACTGCTAGAATAAGTATTCTTTAGCGTCATGTGGGGAAAGCTATGCTTTTAGATCGATGTAAATATTCCTTGAGTACTTAGCAAGCAGCGCCATTAGGGAGATAAGAAAAAGAGTGCTGGCTGCCAGGCAGAACCTGATAGCAGGACAGTAACATAGCAGAGTCATCCCAAGTCTGCCCAGTATTGCAGGGCCAGAAACTGAATTTGGTCAGCAAACCCAGAGTTCTTCTGAATCTGAGGACCTAATTCACCAGAGAATAGTATGTAAAACAGACTTGAAGTTTTAATTCTTCAACTCAGGTCAGACACTCAGTCTGCTGAGTCTACCTCTGCCTTCATCATCCCTCTGATGCCATCCTCCCCCTGATGCCTTTCTCACCAGCATCACAGATGGCCTGTTTCTCACTAACAGCACTGGACAGATGAGGTCCTTGGTCCATCCTTGCTCTGGAAGCCACTGCCAGACTTCACTTAATGACCCTGTGCCTTTGAACGGTTACCTAGTCTCTCTCCACCTCAGTCAACTCATCTCCAAAATGAAGATAAGAATAACATGAAATCCATACAGTCATATAATCTTTAGATGAGATAATAGATGTAAAAATATGATCCATACATTGATGACTTCCAGCTTTATTTCCAGCAGGGGACAAGGGGTTGCACAGAGAGGGGAGGAGATACATGAAAACAATTTCAACTAAAGGCCAAAGTATGTGGTGCTACTTCACTACAGAGGGGAGAATGTTACAGTTTGCCATCGGAATTACCCCAGCTTCCTGAAGGAGAATGAAGTCTAAACTTGGCCTTAATACATGAGTGAGTTTATATAGGCAGATATGGATGGGGACAGAAGGGGAGCTGAACTTTACAGCATCAGAAACAGCAGGAGGGAATCAGCAATGAAATCAGCAAGGAACAGATACATGTAACTACAATGGAAACACATAAGGCATTTTTAAAAAATGACACAGAGTGTGATAGACCTGGAGCTTGCATTCTGTGAGGAAAAGGATTAGAAAAGAGAGGCCAATCTCAGATTATCACAGCATAGTTTGTACTGCTGAAAAAATTTTCACATTGAATGTGATATTGTCCTCATTGCCTACTGATTCCAGCTATATTGATGCTTTTGTTCATCCATTCCTTTAGTAGTCCTGGCCTCTATTTGCCCTGGGAATTTCTTCTTTCTCTAAAAGGTGGTCTTAATAGGATTTTACATTGTTAAGAACCATATTCAGGAACCATCAATAGGAAACATGGTTGTATTAGTAAAGGCATCATTAAATCATACATAAAGAGTCAGAGATTCAGCTGAGAGCCTCATTCCTCCAAATGTGACCCGTAGACCAGCAGCCTGGGTGTCACCTGGGAGCCCATTAGAAATACAGAATTCCAGGCTGTTCCTGAACTACAGAATCAGAATCTGCTTAATTCATACAATTCTATAATTCATAAGCTCAGTGACATTTGAAAAGTATGATTAGATATCGTTTAGTCCAACCCCCTTTCCTCCAACATGCACAACACTACCTACCACACAGATAAGGAAACTGAGGCACAGGGTAATTTACTCAAAGATGCAAAGTTGATTATTTGCTGTCTCTTTTATGTTAAACTGCAAGAAATGGAGAAGAATTTTCACAGCTTTATTCAAAGAGATATGTTGAAAGAACTTAGCAAGCAATATGCCTCTAAACAGCTTTGGAGATCTGTTAACAATTCCTTTGATCTGCAATAGCTTTCTTTTCAGTGCCCTCTTAGAAGCTAAGGGGATTAATTATACAGCAGTTTGCTTCAAAATGTTTTCCTTTGATTGATTTTAATCCCTTGTCCATGCAGTTTGAGAAAACGTCCTGTTATGTGGTCCAAAGTTGCCACTGCTCTTCTCTCAGCCATGCAGGGAGGGTGCTGCCTTCTCAGAAGGGTGCTCTGGATTCCAGTCACAACCAATTCTGCAGTACATGATTATGTCCTAAGAAAATATGCAGTGCTCACAGACATCATTTCTCCTAGACAGGTAGAATCTTCCCAATTCCTTGAAGAACAATTCCAAAGCCATCTGTGGTTGCTGTTAGTTGCCGTCGAGTCAGAATGTTGCCCGGTCCTGCACCATCTTCGCAATCATGTCTATGTTTGGGCATATCTTCCAGCACTATATTAGACAATATTCTATTATGATCCATAGGGTTTTCATTAGCCAATTATCAGCTGTAGATGACCAGGCCTTTTGTCCTAGTCTGTCTTAGGCTGGAAGGTCTGCTTAATACTGCTCACCATGGTTGACTCTCCTGGTATTTGAAACACTGGTGGCAAAGCTTCTAGCATCATAGCAACACGCAAGCCACCACACTATGACAAACTGATAGCTAGGTGGTAGAAAGCCACCTGAGATGAGGTAAATACTAATTTCTTCACTGCTAAGAGTGCAATCTCCACTTACAAGAGATCTTGGGAAGGTCTGTTTCTGGTTGTTGTTTTCAATACTACTTGAGAATGTATCAGAAATAAACATGGGGAAGGTTGGCTTAACTGCTAGGAACTCTTCTCCTAGCAAGGTAATAGACAAAGGGAGAAGTAAAATCTGGGGGCTACTTATTTCAGGTCAAAATGCCACCTGATAATGTTACTGGCTTCCTTCAATAATTGCATTCCAGTATAGCTCTGTGTGACCAGAATTTTCCTGAAACAGAAGCAAAGAGAACAGAACATAAGCGATACCAATTCCTCAAAATACTCTTCTAGGAGGACTGAGTTTATCACACATCCACTTGAGGATATTACAAAACTCAATATTACCTCGGTCTGTACAGAAGCAATTTTGCCCTGAAAGCAAAGCTCAGGTTTGGAAAATTTAGCTTTACCTTTGACATGCACAAGTTCTATATCTCAAATTTTCAGTAAAAGGAAAAAGTAGCAGCAGCAGATATTTTATCAGTACAATTAGCTATTGGCAGATGCCCCTGGTTCTAGTCCCCCTCCAATGGATAATTCCTAAATTACAAATGCAAATAAATATGCTAAGTTTCTGCAGCACACACATGGTATCCAGGCCAGACAAAGGTCTTTTAAAATCCTAGACGATTCCTTTTGCAGCAATGTGGAAGACTGGATATACAGAAAAATTTTTAGCAGTTTAGGACTACTGAAACAGCTTGAAGAAAGAACTGAATTTTTTTTGTTAATGTGTGACTGAACTAGCTGTTAAGTAATGCAGGTTAGAAATGACAACAAAGTATGAATATAGAGACCTAAGCAGGTGACGACACATCCCTGGAGGACTCAGCTTAGGTAACCATTGTCCCTAGTGCATGGACCAAAACCAAAAAACCCACTGCTGTCAAGCCAGTGCCAACTTACAGCACCTCTGTAGGACAAAGTAGAACTGCCCCACAGTTTCCAAGACAGTATATCTTTACGGAAGCAGACTGCTGCATCTTTCTCACTCAGAGTGCCTCGTGGATTCAAACTGCCAACCTTTCAGTGAGCACCTGAGTGCTTAACCACTGTGCCACCAGGGATTGCTTGTGCATGGACAACAGAGGGCAAATCTTGGGGGGTGGGCCGTGATAAGAGGTTAGATGAGAGGTCCTTTAGAAAATTGCTGATACCCCAAAGTCACTCTCTGTGAGAAGAAGAAAATAAATGACCTGCAGAAGAGTTTGGTGAAGTAAAATCCCTGTATTGGTCTTGACTTATATAGAGAAGAAAAGAGGAGCCAGGAGAAAGAAGAGAGTAAGGGTAAAAGGAAAGAAAGAGAGAGGGGGGAGAAGGAAGAAGGAAGGGAAAGAAGGATGGATGGAGAAAGGGAAGGAAGAAAGAAAGGAGAATCTTCTTACTTGGGTTTAAGGCCTGAATTCATACTACTTGTATGCACAAAATAAAATAATCTGAAAATTTAGTTCAGTTTAAAGTGAACCAGAGGTGAAAAAATCACCAGGCAGGAGCAATGCAAACATTGTCTGCAAGAACAGAATCTAAATCCAAACCTCAAAAATGTCCCACAAATGCACTTCCAAAGAACAGAAGCTAGCAATCAAAATTCACCAAACACACCAAAAAATGAGCCACCATGAGTGAGAGGTAACAGAAACAACCAATTTTATGATCAATGTTTCAGAGGCTGCATATATTGGAATTATCAAATAAATGAATATCTAACTGTCTATTTATGTTTAAGGAGCCTTGGTGACACAAGAGTTAAGCACTTAGCTGCCAACTGAAAGGTTGGCAGTTCAAATTCACCCAGTGGTTCCATGGGAGAAAGACCTGGAAATTTGCTCTTATAAAGATTACAGTCTAGAGAACCCTATCACATGACCCCATGTGACAGTTCTACTTTATCACATGGGGTCTCTATGAGTCAGAATCAACTTGATGGCACCTAACCACAACATCACAGCTATATAAGCTTAAAGATATTAAAATGGACTCGAAAATATAACAGAGGAACAGGAGAATATCAAAAGTGAACAGGCAAATTAGAAGAAAAAACAAATAGAATTTCTAAAAACTAAAATCATAATTTAAAAATTTGGTTGATAGATTTAACCACATATTAGACGTAGCTAAAGACAGAGTTAGTACCAGAAAGCTTAGCTAGGGAGACAAAACAATAGACTATATAACAGTAAAACAGACAAAGCAGATTAATGAAAAAAGTCCAATATGCATCCAATTGACATTTTTGACCCTAAACAAGAATTTTCTTTAAAGATTATCTTTGCATACCTCGTTAAAATATTCAAATTTTTTTTTTTTTTTTTTTTTTTTTTTTTAGAAATATCCTGTTTTATAATTATGGAACTGGGTATTTAAAAGACTTCAGATAATCATATAATACCAGGGAAGAGTTTTGCTGGTCTCTTCTCTTTTAAAACTGGTAAACAGTAAGTTGAAAGACCAAAGACTGAGGTAGACAAGGCCTATAACTAGACCTTCATTTTCCACCTACCCACAAACCAAAGCACTCTTAGTGGCTACTAATTGGCTTCCCAGGAATAGGAGTTGAGTCCATAGGCCCTGGAACTATAAACTGTAGAGTGTAGATATTTAATAAGCATTGGTACATTTACAAGGGCTCTTATTCTGAAGCATGTTTTCTGAGTCATGGAGTTAATGGGTCTATTTTAAGTACAGTGGAGATTGTCAATACATTAATTGAAATAGATTATAGAGTTTTCCATGACATGTTTCCATTCTTCTACTGCTATTTCCTTGATAAAATAAAGGGAAATCAAGGGGTAGAATAAAGTGTCAATGTGATATTTTAAAGGATCTTTGGTAGCACAGTGGCTAAGGCATTTAACTGCTAACCGGAATGTTGGCGGTTCAAACCCACTAGCCACTCTGCAGAAGGAAGACCAGGCAATCCACTTTTGTAAAGATTTACTGCTTTGGAAGCCCAATGGGGGTCACTATGAGTTGGAATTGACTTGATGGCAGTGGGGTTTGGTTGTTTTTGGTTTTGGTGTTATTTTTAATTTTGGTTTTGGTGTTATTTTTAAATGTTGGGTTATATATATACACCACACTTATAAAATTTATATAAACTTAGAGACATTTGCCACGTCTTTGTTTAAGGAAGATGCATGCAATGAGAATGCTTAGGCTGTTAGTTATAGTGATAGATGTGGCTGATCACATTAGCTGAGGCAGAGCCTCTGTACTCTTCAGTGAGCTACCTCAGCTATGTATGTGGACAGTGAAAACTCCTTGCCCAGTTGAAGAACAGTAGTTCTCTAGTGAAGGATACAGATTAGCTGTTTAAATGCAGAAAGAAGAGAATTATATATCTCAAACTAAAATAAAACTACTATATTGTTTTTTATTCTAAATAATAGCCCCAATCTACTGACAAAAGAGCAAAGAAATATTTTGAAGCTTAAAACTAAAGCTTGAATTTGTAAAATAGAATATAGATGTCATTAAGAAACTAGAATCAAAATATTGAATATAGATAGAATTTGGCATTTAGAAATGGTAATTGAAACATAATTGAATTGGATCATACCTCTCCCACCCATTAGCAACTGATTCTGTACATTCAACAAAAATGAGTGACATGTTTTCTGCTCATGAGATGAACACTGCCAAAGGAGCCAAACTGTTGAGCACACAGGTGCCAAATGGTACAGGGAGATGTATGCTAATCTGGAGACATAAACAAGGTGGTGGGAGCACAAAGAAGGTGGGCAGAGTACTGCTTGGGAGCAGGAGAAGCTTCACCTAGAAGGTGACATGAAGGCTGGGTCACCAAGGATGAGGCAAAGGCAATGCATGGCAAAGTAAAAGCTATGATATATGCAATAAATAAAGTGACATCTTTCAAGCACATTTCCCAAACATGGTGACTGGATTTCATGAAGTTCCTGATTTCTCTTGTCTCCTTCAGTGTTTACGTATCCAGAAAATGGCACTGACGATTTCAGAGACCAAGCAAAGAACATAAACCACCAGGTAATTATGGATGTCACAAAAGACAGACCCAGACAGGAGTCCTCAGATCAAACAGTAGGACACAACTGAAACAGGTCATGAAATCAATTTAGAGGGTCCCAGACCAGCATTTTCAAAGAATAGAATAATGTGCATAGCCAATCAGGGCATAGATAGCATGGAATAGAACAGAAATAATAGAATGCATCAAAGGTCATAATGACAAATATGGTTTTCTGCAAATTTTGTTTCAGTTATATATGTTACAGACAAGTTAATATATATTATATTAAAAAAAAAAAAAAAAACACTGCTGTGGAGTCACATCTGACCCATAGCAACCACTCCTTGGGTTTCCAAGGTGGTATCATTACGGAAGTAGATTGCCCAGCCTTCCTTCCAAGGAGTGGCTGGTGAGTTTGAACCACTAGCCTTCTGGTTAGCAGTCAAATGCGTAAAATATTTAATTATCTAATATGACATATTTTTAAAATATTTAAGTATATATTTATTATCTTTATATAATGATTTTTCTATGTATAGATATTATTAGGGTAGGATAGAATGGGATAAAGTCATTTAGCATAGGATATCTGAGCTTCAAACAGCATAGCATAGAAGAGATGAGAAAATAGTGAAGTGTGTCATAGTACAGGTAGAAAGGGTACATAGAGCTGTGTGCAATTTTTGTCATGTTACATATATATGTCATTTTAATTATAGTATTGTAGTTGTTGTTATGTGCCGTCGAGTCAGACCTGACTCATAGCTACCCTTCTTTGGGTTTCCGAGGTGGTTTCACTACCAAAGTAGATTACCCAACCTTCCTTCCAAGAATTATAGTATTACACATTTAAATATATTATACTATATTATATACTGTGATATAATTATAATTCTACTGTAGAAATTATAAAGCATAAAAACTTACACAGCTTCAGCATTTATTTGGTGAATAGTAATAGCTAATATTTATATAGCTGTTACATACGTATATGTTTATGCATACATATATAGCTGTTTTATTGTCTGTAAATTGGGAGTAACAATAGAATTTACCTCACAGGCTCGTTGTAAGGTTGGAGTAGAATGATATATATACACAGTAAAGTATCAAAAGTGATAGCTTCTATTATTGTTCCCAAGGTTTAATAGCCAATAAATTGTGGTGCCATGATATAAATTAAATCAGTCTGACACTGTTTTGGTTACTTTGTGCTGTTCTAACAGAAGGCAACCACAAATGGGATGCTTGAACAAACAAGAGTTTTATTCTCTTACAGTTTTGGAGGCTAGAAGTCTGAGTTCAAAGTGCCAGGCTCTAGGGGCTGTGTGAAAGCCCCTCGACTTTGGGTTTCAGCTCTGCCTCCTGCTCCCAGCCCACTGAAGCTAGAGGCTTTCTTCACTCAGGCATCTGCTGGCTGCTGAGGCTGACAAACCCACAGTCAACAAGTAAAAGGCACAGTTCTGGTATTACCAAACCACATGCCAGACCATTGATTCAAGTCCATTAAGAGTCCCAAGATCAGCATACAACATGGCAGGCTGCTGAATAACAACTCAGCTACATTCAGAAGTCAAGCATGCCAAAAGCTACAGATGTTTCCCAAGGCTTCTCCTTATATACAGGAAGCAGACCACATCCCTAAGGCAGCTACTCAGGTGCTCCAGCAGATTCCAGCATGGAGTTGATGACCAGTCTCATCATAGGGAATGCTGCATCCAGCTACCCAGCCACTCAACCAGGCCCATCCAAGTGAACACATAACTTTAACTACCACAGACACCTAACTCTTTACTTTTTCTACAACATAAATGAACTGATTGTCAGATTAATATACCTGGTTTCCTTTGATATGCTAGATACCAAAATTTAGACTCCCTGGTAAAAAGTCAGTTTTAGGAAGTATGAGTTATTTACTGCTATTGATATGTCCCTCTTTTTGGAGAAAGAATATTCCCATTCTGGGGACAAACCCATATCATGTTCATGAACAAAATTATTTAAAAGGAAAACATTGTTTGAAGAAAATTACAGTATTTCTTAAGAAGAGTTCAAAATAATTTTTTTAATGGTTTGTAATGGAATCAAATTCAGGTGAGAAATGAAAGATAAACCTGAGGTTGAAAGAAAATCTTTAATAATGATTAGATGTTTTAACACTTAAGATCCTGCTCACTGAGATTACATTACATTAACTTCACATTCTATTTTCTTTCTTGCATCTCTCCATTTCTTCTGCTTTGTTTGTCTCATTTTTCCTTTATTTTCTCTTTCAGGGACCTATTTCCAAAGACACATTACAGATGAACACCTATGTTGCCTTGTACAAATTTGTACCACAGGAGAATGAAGATTTGGAAATGAGGTAAAAAAAAAAAAAAAAAAGTACAAAATAAAGAAAACCTGAAGTCAATGTTTTTCCATTGAAAAAATAGTTCACTTTGTGCCACCTCCTAACACTTTACAGCAGTAAATCTCACACTTTAGCCTATATCCCAATGACATGAGAGTCTTGTTAAAAATAGAATCCTGGGCCCTAGCCCCAGAATTTCCAGTTCAGTAAGTCTGGGGTAGAATTTAAGAATTTCCATTTCTAACAAGTCTCCCTGGAGAGGGATATCATGCTTGGTACAGTGGAGGGTCAGCGAAAAAGGGGAAGGCCATCAATGAGATGGATTGACACAGTGGCTGCCACAGTGGGCTCTGGTATAGCAAGAATTGTGAGGCTGATGTAGGACTGGGCAGTGTTTCATTCTCTTGTATCACTATGAGTCAGATCCGACCTCTACAGTGAGTTTGGTTTTACTTTTTTTTTTTTTTTTTTTGCTTTAGTATATGACCAGCAGGAGCTCTGGTAGCACAGTGGCTAACACACTTGACTGCTAACCAGAAGGCTGGTGGTTCAAACCCACCAGCCACTCCTCAGAAGGAAGATGGGGCAATCTACTTCCGTTGTGATACTGCCTCAGAAACCTAAGGAGGGGTCACTATGAGTCGGGTCTGACTCGATGGCACATAACAACATCATATGACCAACAGAATGGCTAATGGAAGTTTTCAGGAACTCAACCTTTGTCACATGCACTTGGCATCCTGTGGTCTAATATAAAATCAAATTCAAATTAACACTGATTAACCAAATTAACCTCAAACTCTCAGGGTCAACGAACAGCCATGCCAATTCATAGTAATCAAAACACTGAGAGGGATGAGGTGAACTTTGTAACACTAATGAGATCTGAAACTTTCTCTTGAGCCCAGTGTGAGTTTCCTTAGGAAGCTGAAGTCATCTGGGTTCATACCCTATTTTCTATGTGACCATAAGCAAATTATAAATATCTTTGTACTATGATTTTCTTATTTGTGAAAGAATAATGATGACCTGTTCCCCTTAAAGATTTGTGAGGATGAAATGAATAAAGCACATAGCACAGTGCCTATCATATTTACCTAGGGCTGCCGTAACAAAATATGGCAAAAATACGTTACCTTAAAGAAAAGAAATTTATTTTCTCACTGTTCAGGAGGATAACTATGTGAGTTGGGGTCACTGCTTTTTATTATTATTATTATTTACTTATTTATTTTTATTGTGATTTTGGTGAAAGTTTACAGAGCAAATTCATTTTCCATACAGCAGTTCACATGCA